GAACCTCAATCTTTGAAGAGGGGACACAGAAATGGTAGAGATATAATATATGGAAAATTGTAGTGACTGGAACATTTTTAAATGATTGATCACATCTGTTGCTAATAAGGAAGGGGAAAAATAAGCATTCATGCCACAACCCTTTGGAAAGCATTGTGGAAATATCAAAATTTAAGATGAGCATAGCCATCAACCCAGAAGTTTCACTTCTAGATATCAATTCTAATAAATGAGTACATGAGACATAGGATGTTCACTGTCTACAATAAACGAAATTATTCTAAATGTCTATGAGTGGATTAGTGAATCATTGCACAAATGTACCAGTATGAAAAACTGTCCTAAACAATATGCTCCACAAGTTGGAGAAAAGTACTTTTGGTATAATCCCATTATTGTGATTAAGCACCAACAAGCATCAAATTCTCTGCATATGTATCTGGGCTCCTCCATTTACTAATTGTGGAACTCGGCAAAGTAACTAATATTCTCTATGCCTCATTTTTTTCATTTAGGGAAAATAATAGCATGATTTTACAAAGGAGTTATGAGGACTAAAGTGACAGTAATTCTAAATGCTTACAAAGGTGAACTTACTATGTATGCATTTCAAAAGTATGTATGATTGCATTAGGTTGAACTATATGAAATTAAGAGTCACCTATAAAAATGTCATGATCCTAAGGTTTAACCTAATAAATGCACGGAAATTTTCAGAAAGGATACCCAAGAGACCTAAAAGCTGTTTTTAATACTCTTCTATACCATTTTCAACATGACCAGCAATAACACCCTCTCTCTCAATAAAAAACTATCTACCCTTGTTGTAAGTGGCACTATCTTAAAATCATGATGGACAAAAGGAGACCTTTTCCTCCATCCCTCTAAATCATTTGTTAAATGAGCAAACAAGCTTCTTACAATACTCTTCTAGGGAGAGTCTTCTTTATTTCAGAGAAATTTAAAGATTTGTAGAATGCTGGCACTGGAAAAGACCTCAGAATTTACATACCTAGGTAAATTCATGCTAGATTAACGTCATGAAGTTGTTCCTGAACTCTAACCTAAATATTATATTCCAAAGAGCTCTGGTTTTAATAATTCTGTATAACTATCCTTATATAAAGGTGGGTGGGAAAAGAGGAGAAAAGTCAAGAAAATAAGCCAAGATAATGTTTTCTGACAGATGCAAAGAAATGTGTGGGGCACTCTGTGCTTGACAAGACCACCACAAATCTAGTGCTTTGGAAATCCTATCTTGTTCCACTTACACTGAAATGGTTCTTGAAAAAGCTATAATGGGGGAAATAATTTAGTCTAGAAATCCTAATGCCATCTTCTTTGAAAAGACAAAGTAATAGACTATATCTCATTTTGCCTCCTGATTTTCCTCGTACCCGATATGGACACATCAAAACTATCAGAGTTCCATCTGCTTTTGGGCAGAACAGGCTCTAGTTCCATCACCCCTTCCCAGGACATCCCGTTTTCCCAACTATTCTTGGCACAAAAGAAACAGTATGCTAAGTATGGCATATATATAGGAAAATGCTCAATGGTTAAATAGCATCATCCAGTTTTAGTAACATATTTACACACATTTATACACAAATTAACTGAAAATAAAGGGCAGTAGGTCATCTCATGCTAGAGAAATAAAAAAAAAAAACTACTGGACTGGTTTTATGGTATTTTTAAATATATTACGCTTTGGAACCTTGAAGGCATTATGCTAAGTGAAATAAATCAGTCACAAAAAGACAATCATTGCATGATTCCACTTACATACATTATCTAAGTAATTAAATTCATAAAATCAAAGTAGAATAATGGTTATTAAGTGTTGAAGGAGGGGAAAAAAGGGAGGGTAGTGCCTCAGTTTTGCAAGATGAAAAAATTGTGAACATATGTTGCAAAAGAGTGTGGCTATACTTAACACTATTGAAATGTATAATTAAGGGCCTCCCTAGTGGTACTAAGGGTTAAGTATCAGCACTATGAAGCTATCTACAGCCACTGCAGCATGAGTTCCATCCCTGGCCAGGGAGCTACCAGACAAGGTCCCACAGACCTCTCCTGTCTCACTAGCTGCTCCCCTCAGCAGTGTATTTCAGTCAATCTACCTGTTCTGCTCCCCACTCTGTCTCTGGTGAATCCTCTTACCTCCCCACCCCACCTCTGGCCTACACCCCAGCTCTTATATGCAAAAATAAATAAATCTTAAAAAAAAAAAAAAGTACACTTAAAAATGCTTAAGATAGCAAAAGGAAAAATAAGATTGGTACCCATGCACAAAATAGCAGTAAGTAGATAGGCATCAGTAGACTATTTCTACTGCACTAATATAACAGCTTCTAGCCACATGTGACTATTAAAATTTACTTTCATTCTTAAAAATTAAAACTATCTCCTCAGTCGCGACTAGCTGTATTTCAGTCACTCAACAAACATGGCTATTCAGGACAGCACAGACACAAAACACTGTTATCACACAAAATGAGAAACAGACTCAAAATATATATGGAAATTTGTATTTGACAGAAAATTGTGAGTGATAAAGGTGGTATTTCACTAAAGAAAGCATTATTGAGTAAATAATGTTACAACAATTTGCTAGCCTAGGGAAGAACGAGGGAGAACTGAGGAAATAAAGCTTAATTCATATCTCAACTTTCATTCAAAGTAAATTCTAAACGAATCAAAGACTTGATTTGATGAATTGATGAAAGTACTAACATTTAATTTTAATTAAGAAGTGACCTTCCAAATACAGACCCGTAAGAAAAAAATGAATGGCTTATTTATTTTTCACAAAAATAAAAACTTCCAATGAATAAAGCCCAAAGTGAAGAAAAGGGAAGAGGGTGTGGAGTACTACATTTTTCTTTTTTTTGAAATAAAGATTTATTTATTTATGCATACATGAGCTGGGGTGTAGGCCAGGGGTATGGGAGGTGATAGGAATCACCAGAGACAGAGTGAGGAGCAGAACAGGCGGATTCACTGAAATACACTGCTGAGGGGAACAGAGGGCATCTTGAGACAGGAGAAGTCTGCTGTGCCCATGTGGGTTAGCTCCCTGGCCAGGGACAGAACTCATGCTGCAGTGTCTGTGATACTTCATAGTACTGAGACTTGTGCCACCCCTTGTACCACCAGGGAGGCCCATTTCTTTAATAATTAAAAAATAGAACTCAATGGGAAAAGGTAAATTGAAGGGGACAATATGTACATGAAAAAATTGCTTGTATTTACTATAATTTAAACTATTAAATTTCATTTTCAACCATGGGATAGCAAAGATAACTGACAGTTGAGAAGTGTGGGGAAACAGGCAGTAATGGATGCAAAAACTGACATATAACTAATCCAGGATGTAATTTTTAAACATTAATCAAAATCAAAAGCAACAGAAAGTGCTTATGGATAAAATGATATTGAATTTAAGAGTGATCAACTTTATAATAACCTGAAGAGTGTAAAACTTACCTGAGTTGTATATATGTAAACAAAACAAGGTTAGGCATAAATTGATAGTAATTATAGCAGGGTGATGGGTACAGTCATCATACTAGTCTCTCTAGTCATCATATACTAGTCTTTATCTTTGTATATGTCTGAATTTTTCCTATTGTTCATACCTTTGAGCCTAAGAAAACCATGTCTATGAATTTAGTTTGTACATTGTATAAGCAAACAACACTGTAAGTACAGGGTCTTCTCTGAGATAATCAAGCAAAAACCTGGAAACAATCTAAAGAGCCATTAAAGGTCTGGTTGAAATAAATTATTTTAATCTAAACAATGTTACACAGTTTAAAGAAATATGGAGGTTAACTATATGAGGGAGATTATGAAAAGAAGGAACATCATCAAGGGCAGAACAATAGGTATAGTTTGATCACATTTAAGGAAAAATAAAGTTAAACTTGCAGATTGGTAAATGTATATAAGATATGTACCCATATTCATAACAAATTTCTAGAAGGAAATGTGAAAATCTTAACAGAGGGTATAGCTGGTTGGGCAGGGGATTGGGAATTGGAAACCTGCAAAAGGAAACATTTTTTTTTTCAAACATTTTTATAGTGTGATTTTTTTGGGCACGTGAATATACTGCATTCATTACATTTATAATGAAATCAATTAGATTTTTTTAATCCTTCATCTATTTAAGTAATTTATTTATTTAGGAATTATCAATATTCAGGGTCAGTGTTGGGGAGGAATTTGTCACAAAGCACATTTAAATTTACAAAGCAGTACAGATAAGTCAAGACTCCTTTATCGCTAATCCTATCTCAGAGCTCTTATGTATATGTGCCTCTATCTTAGCCCTGAAGATGGATCCAAAAATTCTATCAAATATTTGCTTGATAATAAACTGTATCAAGTAATTTCTCTAAGTGTAAGTAAGATCCTTCCTTGGTGTTAAATAATTACTGATATTTACTGATATATATGTACATACACACACACTGGTATGTGGGGAATACAAAGGAATCAGATTATAGTCTTGCTCAAGAAGCTTATAACCTCAAGAAGAAAAAAACATAAGAAACAGAGAACAATTAATGCACGAAAACACAGGTTTGTTCAGAAAAGGAGAAGAAAGGAGAAGTCAGTGTGGGGATAAATAGTTGGGGTTCATACAAGAAATCAGAGAACAGATTTTATCTTAATGAGCCAGCTTTATATACACAGAAGGGAGAGAAATACACAAGACATCTAGAAAGAATGCATGGAAATAAACTAAGATAGTAAGACTCTATGACTGGAGATGAGATGAAGGATAGTAAGAAGTATAAAATAAATAAGAAGTAGGACTAAAGTTCAAGGCATAATACACATTTTCAAAACCAGGGGAAAATTAAAATTTTATAAAGTAGGTAAGGAGAGTTTTAATAAGTGTTTGGCAGCAGAAGTGAGCACATCTTTGCTTCTTTCTTAGGCACCCTTTCTTGACATGAAAAATAAAATAACGAACATTATTTTATTACCTCACTTCCAGACCCAGGTTCCAGTGGTCTCTTCTTTCTTGGTCCAATAGCTGCAAGAGCTGTGAGATTCGCATCTCTGTGCTGTATCTGAGCAAGCTCCAACTGTTGTAACTAAAAGATGGAATAAAAAAAAATCAATATTTACAATAGTCATGCTCAAAGTGGAAAGAAACTGATCACTAAACCTATTTCTGCCTTCTTAACCAAATCAAGTTACAGTGTAAAATAAATATGAAATTTTGCCCTAACAAACAGGGACATGTCGTTTCCAGATTTCTTCATTCTTCTTAGTCCTGAATCCTCAATGAAAAGGGCAGAACTGAGGTTTAAAAAGTACAGAATAGAAGAAAAAGAAGAAAGGAGCTTAATCTCTCCTGAGTTTAAGCACATGTAAGAAATGCCTGAAGAATGAACAGAGCAGTAAGTTGGAGAGAAACTGGCCAAACCATAGCCAACATTTTCAGATTAAAAGAAAATTACTTAAAAATGAAGAATTTCTGTACATGAAGGGAAACAGTTCTGTTATATATGATTTAAAAAGCACTTTCTTAAAAATTTCCTCATTTAACTGTTCGGTCACATGAAATAACACTTCTTTTTTTTTTTTAAATAGAGACATGTTTTTATTTATTTATTTGTTTGTTTTGTTTATACATGCACTGGGTACAGTCAGAAGCATGGGAGGGTGAGAGAATTCACCAGAGCCAGAGTGGGGAGCAGAGCAGGCAGAAGGACCGAAGTACACTGCTGAGGGGAGCAGTGGGCGGCAGGAGAAGTCTGCGCGCCATGTGGGACCCTCCTCCGGTGGCTGGGAAGCAGCCGGGAATCGAACCGGTGCCGCAGAGGCCAGGGGCAGCTTCGTAACCCAGTGCTCAACCGCTGCGCCACCGGTGAGGCCCCATTCTTTTTTTTTAAAGATTTATTTATTTATGTATACAAAAATGGGGATACAGGTCAGAGGTGTGGGAGATGAGAGGATTCACCAGAGACAGAGTGGGGAGCAGAACAGGCAGATTGACTAAAATACACTGCTGGGGGGGGGAGCGGGCGAGTCAGGAGAGGTCAGCTGCACCATGTGGGTAGTTCCCTGGTCTGGGATCAAACTCATGCTGCAGTGGCTACAGATAGCTTCATAAGTTGCATCTTAACCCTTGTGCCACCAGGGAGGCCCTAATTCTCTTTTTATTAATGGAGATGGTGAGTCTGTAAAAGGTTAGGAAAACTTTATAAAGGTCACACTAGAAGTAAGTAGCTAGAGACAACTCAATAACAAATGCTTTCTTCGCAAAACTTTTCAATAATCACAATTTCTTAATTGCAAATAAAAATCATTGATTTACTCTATATTTGCCATCATGGCAAAACCTGAAAGTCAGTTACATTAGTATTGTTTTATTATACAGTTTTTATCATACTTAACACAGAATGCCCAAATATAACAAGATATAATTTTTGGAATGCTGACTAGAATCAGATTTACATGTGACAGGGCCTCCCCTGGTGGCTCAGCGGTTGAGCGCTGGGCTTCAAAGCTGCCCACAGCCTCTGTAGCGCCAGTTTGATCCCTGGCCACCGGCGAGGGTCCCACTTGGCGAGACAGACCTCTCCTGCCTCGCCTGTGCTCTCCTCAGCAGTGTGTTTCATCGGTCAGTGTTTTGTTCCCCGCTCTGGTGGGTTCTCTCATCCTCCCGCACTTCTGACTGTACCCAGTGCTTGTATAAATAAATAAATAAATCTTTTTTTTTTTTTTAAAAAAGATTTACATGTGACAAATATGTAGCTCAAGAGTGGACCTAGGGGTTTAAAACAATGATTTAGGATGGCTATTTTGAGTTCTTCCCTTTCTGCAAATTCCCGGTAATTTTTGGTCCTTTTTTGTTCTAGTGAGAAAAGTGGGGTTTTGGTTACTCCACTTTGCCATACACTTATATGACTGTCTCCATGACCAGGAATGAATGTGTGTAGGAAGAATGTGGTGAGGGCGTTGGGTGGGAGCGGTAGAAGAATGGCAACTTCACCACTGCTTCAGTGGTATTCTGAATTCTCATCTTCTCTTGCTGTTCATTACCCAATTTGCTTACTGTTTACATTTGAAGCTCTCAAATATCTTCTCTGCATATTCTGCCCAGGATCTATATTCAGTGGGACTAATTTTACTCCATCTCAACTGTAATCATTAAAAGTTTAAGTAGAATTCTGACAACAGGTTTCTGTTACATTGTATTGCAACTAGACTTTGTTTCATAAAATTTAGGCTGCTTGTCACCAACCAATTTAAAAAGCACTTGGCTTTGAAATAACCTAAGAGGTTTGGCTGGTTCTCTTCTAAGAAAGAGTACCCTTGCCCCTTCCTTTATGGCTATTAAAGGCAGAAGCCCTGACTTCCTGTATCACAATTTCTCTGGGATATCAAGTGAGATCCTGTAAAATTCAAGTCAGTGTCCTAGAGAGAAACAGAGCAACAACAATTGAGGATTATTTTACCTTTGGTTTTTGGTACTCGTGTCTGTTCATTTTTAAGCACATTTATAGTAGTGCTGACTTTAAGATCCAAAGCACATTAATAGATTACCTTAAAGATCACACAAACTCTCAGATTACTCTCAATAATCTCTCTTAATAGATTACCTTAAAGATCACACAAACTTTGAGGCAAAGTTCAATGGAGGTACTTCTCGCTTTTAAGCACATAATTCTCAAGAATAAAAGACATTGGGGGAAAAAACCCACAAAGATTAGGTAAAATGAGAGGAGTCAGATGAAGAATGAATAAACCAAAAGTCATATAACCAATTCTCTCTACTGATATAGGTACATATTGAAGAGGTAATTTACACTAGGTAAAATACCTAGGTAATTTACACTGACAGTGTAGGAAACCCAGAAATATTTCTTTTCATGCTTAAGGAAGGCAAGTTACAGGAGAAAAATGCAGGTACTGAAAGTACCAAAGATGACAACAGAGCTATCATCCAAAATACTATGTGATGTCATCTGGTTTTGCTATAGACTTCTGGAAAGTGTTAAGATATAAAGCAAAGGAAAGAGTTGAGAGGTTAATGCCTTTCCAAGGCTTATTTGTGCAAGCCAGCAATAAATACATTAGTAACAATGACAACAGCTTAGGCCACTAAATAGCAATGTTTGAAAGTATCTAAAGAGAATGAAGTATGTTACCAGATTTTGAATTCAGTATACAAAGAATTAAGAATAATATCCTGTGCAGATTTCATAATAAAGGTAAGTGTACACAGAGAAGACAAAACCCTAACACTGAGCAATAAACATTTCATAGCAAAAAGTTTTATAAAATTTAGTTATGCTTTGGAAAAATCAATTGTCGAAATTCTGAAATTCTCAACCACGCTTATAATCACTTCTGAATTACTACAACTTACTGAGGAAAGCAAAGTTAAATCATAAATAAGATACTACAAAATGCACCAAACCCTATTAACAGATGATTCATGAACCAAAGGAACCCAAAATTCAAGGATACCACCACAGAAATACAGAATCCTTTTCAAGCCCTTAAAAACAATTATTAAGAAGGTATTTCACCAAATCAACAAGTATAGGTCTGATTATTTTTTTTCCTCCTAACAACTAAGGCTAGTTCTGATGATATTAACACCAGAGAATGCTGGAATTTGAAATGCACACTCTGATGCCTAGTCAGCCGTTTTAATCCATCTCTACCATTCAGGAAAAAAGGATATTTCACATACCCTCAATAGACACTTTCTCCCTTACACTTAAATATGATTCTTGATTTATATACAAATATAATGTACTATATTTGTACAAGATTACAAAACTCCCCTTCTCCCATAGTTTTCCTCCAAATATTTTTCTACCCCATATTTTTTCTAGTCCTCTGAAAGGGAATAAGCACAAAACAAAACAAAAAATCTATTGTCAATCTCAAACTTAAGTTTAAGACCTTGATAGCACCTATCTTAAATGTTTCTATAGCTAATGATTTTAAATTACTGGTACCTGCACTTATACCTCACCTTTCTCTAAATTAAGATAGCAGTTTTGTTACATTCATTTTAAATGCAAGGAAAATGAGGTAAGTTCAAAGAGGTAAAGTAACTTCCCCAAAGTTTGATTAGATAAGGGCAGGCTTAATCTAGAATCCAAAATTCCTGACTTCTGTTTCTTTTCTTTTTTTTTTTTTTTTAAAAGATTTATTTATTCATGCATACAAGAACCAGGGTACAGGACAGATGTGTGGGAGGGTGAGAGGATTCACCAGAGACAGTCCAGGGAACAGAACATCAGACTGACTGAAATACACTGCTCTTGGGAGCAATGGGCCAGACAGGAGAGGTCTGCTGTGCCATGTGGGTATCTCACGAGCTGGCGGAGATCAAACTCATGCTGCAGAGGTTGTGGAAGCTTCACAGTGCTGTGCTCAACCACCTGCACCACCAGGGGAGGCCCACTGACTTCTGTTTCAATGCTGTTTCCTTTATAATATGCACCTCTTCTAGCTCTCTCAAGATACAAAGATCCTATACTTTAACATTAAGGATAAAATTATCCTTCTGATGCAGCTCTAAATAAATATTCTCTTTTGATGTAAGTGCCCAATCAAGAGATAGAACCAATAAAGATTCCATGAAAATATCAAAACAAAGCAAAACTCTAGTGTAGCTGTCCTAGTTTTAAGAGAGAACTTACTGAATGGTAATTAAATGGTAAACCAACTATATAGGCCAGTTCTCAGATTCCCAAATCACAGTATTTGTTTAACCTTCTAAGACCAGTTAGTCAATAGGAAAATTAAAGTGATGGATTTTAAAGACCCCCTTTATTCTCCTATGCAGAAATAGCAGAATCACCTAAAATTTGTTGGAAAAGCAAATCCTCACCCTTTACCCAGACTTAGTATTTGATAAACCCAGCAATCTGTATTATAACAAGCCTACATAATTCTCATATACAACAAAGTTCGAAAACCACTGGTCCAAGACTATTGAAGCTTTGAAATATTTACATCTGTTTCTCTGCTACATAGACAAGTTGCTTATTACATCATTTTAAGAATGTCTTCTCCATACTGCATTCATGTGACTGTTAGCTATGTTTTTAGTGACGAATTTCATTTTCCAATGTTCCAAGAATTTTGGCTCATGGAGATCAACCATAAAGTTTAAATAAAAACTGCTGTAATTTATGAGTTAGTTTTAACTATCACATTTCACTAAATCCATCTTTTTCAATTCTTGTACCAAAATAGTATATTACTTAAAAATGAGACTTATGATTCAGTTATTTTATTTCTTGTAGAATAATGATTTATGAATAATTATGCCACTTACAGTTTTTATATCCTACACCTTCTATAAACAAAAATCCTAACTACTGCAGGGTACATGTTTTCTGTTATGCATTTTCATCATTTATTACTTGTTCTTTGGCCCAGTTTCTACAGCTTGAACTGTAAAGTTAATGTGCCAGCAGGTACATGCTTTGCATTCCTTTTTCATCCTTCTATTATCTGATAAAAAATGAAAGTGAGAATGCAAGGCATTGTTTAAAAAAATGAATTCTTTTGTCTCATTTTGTACAGATACCCGAACTCACATTTCCTAAAGTAGAAAGAAGATATTCAGAAGGAAATAAGGGTCACAATATATACGACAAATGTTTAAGGAATCAGGATATTTGTATGCCAAGGTCAGATGGCTTGCGCTGCAGAATTCTAGGTGATGTGGTAAGAAAAGAAAACACTGAGGGCTAGATGGTAATCTAGGACACACACCATACATTTCAGACAAGTCTGCAGCTGCATTAAACAAAGATGTGCCTACTTGTTTGAAGTTAGAATTTGGCAATTAGCAACCTATTTTAAACCCTTCACAAATAGACAGTGAAATGGAAGAATGTCAGTATTTACGTTTTAGGTAAAGTAACTAGGAAAGTATCCAGAAAAAAACCAGAGTTTAAAAGTGTCAGTATTTAAAATACTGTGTGACAATGTATGGTGACAATGCTTATGTTTCCCCACCCTGGCAACAGAAAAGGGGGAAAAGATAGCTCCAAAGTTGAAACTAATATGTTTGAATTACAGGACTATCCACAGACACTTTAACCAGACAAAAATAAGATTCTGAAATACAAAGACAACCTGTCAGGTCAAAAAGAAAATGAACAAGAGCTGGGGCCTCCCTGGTGGCACAAGGGGTTAGTCACAGCACTATGAAGCGATCCGCAGCCACTGCAGGACTAGTTCGATCCCCACCAGGAAGGTGACCCACAGCAGACCTCTCCTGTCTCACCCACTGTTCCCCTCAGCAGTATATTTCAGTAGATCCTCCTATTCCGCTCCTACTCTGTCTCTGGTGAATGCTCTCACTGCCCTGCACCTCTGGCCTGCACCTCTGGCCTACCAGGCTCTTGCATGCATAAATAAATCTTTTAAAAAAAAAAAAGAGAGAAAAGAAAAGGAATAAGAGCTATTTCAATGTATTGAGATTAGGCTGGAGGCAAATCAAAAAGTAAACTTTTAAAAATGAGAATGCCAAGTAAGAATGATAAAATTAGAATAGGCAGAATGAAATTATGAGGCACCTTTATAAAAACCTTGCCAATTAAACACCGTTTATATTTATACCCAAGATGCAACAGAGAAATGAATAGCCTCCAAAACTACATTAGAGGGAGGAAAATCCACAGGAGAAATAATTCCAAGGCAAAACTTTAGGCCTTACTCAACAGGTGAAAACAAACACTTACTATAAGTTTACATACAAAGAGGACTCGAGCTGTGATTTAATACTTATATGACAAATATTACTGCAGAAACATTTCCCAGCATCAATAAAGGCCACAACTTCTCTAAACAGTTCTTTAGAATTCTACCTTAATAAGATACTATCATTAGACTATTTCTAAAGGCCAGCTTGGTAGGTTGTTAGTTACCTGGAAAAGAAATGCAACTGTCTAAACTCAGCAACTGTCAGAATTTGGTGCTAATTTTCACAAATGAATAAAGATAACTTCCCAGATAATCAATTACCACATCACAAATGATGACCTTATAAATTACTATGCAAAAAAATTCCATTCTATATTGAGATAGGATCAATGACTTCTGCAATAAACTGTGGTATCCTATGTGCTTGATTTAACTATAACCCCTCAGAACATTAAATTTACTAGAGATCTATGGGGCTAAGGGTAACAAAAAATGGCAATATTTTACTTTTATCAAACATTTACAACATTTATAAATGTTTTTGGAATGGGGGGGGGTTGCATTTCTTTTTTTAATCAAAGTAGATTTAGGACATGAAACATATAGAAAGCTTTCAAAATATTTTGGAAGGAATTACAGAGTCCTTTTCATCTTGCTAGGAAAAAAAATAAATGGAGGCACAGAGAGAGTGAAAAAGAAACAGCTTTGCTACCACCTGCTCTCCTTAAAACAGGTCGTTTCTTTTCTCCACATTTACTCTTACAATTTTCTTTTGAAAAATCCTGTCATCCTATTCATCCCCGAGGAAATAACTAAAAATATGAAAAGGAAATCCAAAGGAAAAAAGGCATCCCACACAAATCTAAAGGAAAAAATAATCTATGATCCAGATACCTATGACAGTTTATAAAGGAGAGCAGACGGGATAAGAACTCTAAGGAAAAATGGGGAAGCTCTATGATACATATTTTCAAAAAAGTGGGTGCAATTAGATACAAGTAAGATAATCATGTAATCAGTTCTTAATTAAAACAAAGAATACCCATGATTCAGAGCAATATCAGTTACCCATCCCCAATTAATCTATCATCAGACCAGGCTTGCTTAAAGAGGATTATAGGTACATTTGTCATATTCACTATTTTAAATAATATTTTTAGATATATTTTCCACTGTCAAGAAATGAGCATTAAGTATTTTTTTCTATTATTGAAATAATTTGTTTCTGATTTCAATCCTTTTTAATGTTTTCTCTTTCCAGGTGTCCTACCCCAAACCAGAAGCCTCTCCAATTCCAGTTATGTATTTACCTTCCTTATTTTAGTGAAAACACACCACAATGATTGTTAAGAATCTTACTAGATTTCCATTTGTTTTGCCTTGGCGCCTACATTAATCCAAACAATAAGGGCCTTTAAAACATTCATAAATAACCTGCTGTTGCTGGCACCTAGGAACTGAGAGCAGCAATGTTAAGCAACAACAAATTTTATAGTTCAAGAGGCACAGTTAAGGAAAAAGGTTGCTCAGGAAGTCACTCTTATTTAGCACAAAGATCCTTAAAAATTGCATGAAATCAGTCAAGTAACTATAGAAACCAATTTCTTCAGCTCCATATCACACGCCTCACACCTCAATTGTCTTTATTATCGTCTGCTGTCAGATCCTTAATCAGAAATGTGAACAGGCTTGATGATTTATTCAGCAGGGAAAAGAATCTGTAGGTCAAGTGAAAAATTTCACTCACACACACACTTACACTCACACACCCATACACACATCACATCTTCAACCTTAGGTACTTTCATTTCCTTCTGTTCTTAGCAGCTCTGGGGGCAACTCCAGTGAGATCCAATATTAAGGCTCAATTAAAATAAGCTCCAATTAGTGGAGCTTTTTTCTCTGGGGCTAGAAAAGTCAGGAAATGGATATTGGGAAATGTAAAAAGTCAGCTACTGAGAGGAGGCTGCAGACATAAATGAACTTATTTGTTGATTTCTACAGTTGCTATGCAGAGGCCTCTGGGAGTAAAAGCTTAACCAGTCTAAGCTATAAACTAAAACCCCTGCAGCTAAACATGAACTGTGTGAAACAAGGGCTCCATTCCAGAACAGAAAACTGCTGGGCCCAGAAAATTAAAAGCCAGAGGCGTTTTCCATTTAAAACTAAATCCCAGTACCGCCTCCCAGCCAAAGAATTATAAGCAGTATCAGATTTACAAAACGAACAATTACCCTGGAAAAATGTAGCCTATTGTACAGTCCCAGATGCTAAATCTCAAAAGTTTTTTCTTTTTTTTTAATCCCACATTATATTCCTCCAAGTACACTGATGCAGTTTACAAAGAACCATTTCTAGACAGGCCTAAGCCTTGAAAATAAATTTTAAAAAGAGAGCACATAACTCATTGACCTCATTTGAAGTACTGCCCTTGCCTCCAGCAGTTCCTGTCCTTCCCCAAGGCTTCTGCAAATGGTATGCAACAGCAAAATAAACCCTGACCTAATTGCCAGGAGAGAGCTGCCAACCTTCCCTCAAACACAAAGACAAGCATGGTAACTTAAAAGTCCTACCTCTTTGGCTTTCTGCTTTAATCTCAGCTGTTCTGGATCTTCTTTATTGGAACGACTCTATCAAAGGAAAAGAAAATTTTAATAGAAATTACTAGTATCTAAACACCATAGTTGCCGTTAAATATTTAATAAATGACAATTTTCTCTTGTGATTGAAAACCTTAGCTCCAGGGGAAAATGCCTCAATCCAGCCTGGTGTACTCCCCCTCATATTCCCCCATCCCCTGCTCATCATCTGGGCTGGCTGCTGCAGTTCTAGCCCGGAGGAAGCTTATACTGAAATGATGCTAACAATGTCAGTCAGGTCCAGTTGAGGCATGACGTTGTTCTTGTTGGAACACTAAAAACTGAAAAATAAATAGTATGGATGATGGAAAAGAAAAGGATAATTATTGGCTCAAACTATGGAAACAACACTGGCAATCTTCATGTGAAGACATTTTGAAAAACATGGTATTTCAAGAACCATTAAAAATCAAGACCTAACTAACCTTGAACCAAATCTCTTTTCAAAGGGGTAATTTAAAAAAAAATGAGTAGGAAATACACCCCAGTGTTTTCATTAGAGTATCTTATACATCCTTGGTCCTCTATAGAGCTTAATAGAATGCTAAGCACAAGTATTTTAGTAAATGTTTACTGAATGTCACTTTCCATTCGGATTCAGTTTAACATTCTAAAAGATGTACAATCTTACAGCATTGGTATAAGAAGAGAGCTACCTTTTACAAATAATTCCATGATGTAACAGAAGGCAGGAACTTTTATTTCTGATAACTATGAACATTTTTCCAATGAAAAGTATGCTTGGGACAGATGTATCCTTTTTCTTATTTTAATAAAAGTTATCTAATTCCTTTTAAATCTAAATATCTGTTCTAGAAAACGCAACATCAGTTAACTGAAGATAGCTAATAAAACCTAAAAATATTTTTCTATTTACTAAGTTTACATGATGCTTTTTACTAATTTATCATGTGTTAAAGAAAAATGCAAGAAAATCTTCAGATTCAACACTGTTTTCTAATTTTAAGCATTTAAATACCTATAAAAATTCCTGACATTAGTAATTTTTTCCTTCATTTTTGTTCCCGATCTACTAAAACAACTTCACTTCAGCCCAAACTAAGACAAACTCCTTTGCTATTCCACCTATAACATTACCAAAGAATGAATATACAAAATATGTGTATGTGTAGATGTATGTGTGTGTATCTAATTTTTTGTCTCAATATAAAATAGGCGCATCTGGGTATTAAGTCTTTGGATTCAACCAATATCTAGTGACTATCAGTAGCACAAATTCTACTGTCACTGTTCTAAACCTTGGCAATATAGAAAGAAAATTACACAAAGCTTCTGTTTTTAATTTTAAGTTACATTTTAAGAAGAGATGAAAAAAATTTATAAAAATTAAACACAGTTGTGATATATAAAACATTCAGGTTGGGGAGAAAACACAATTACTGGATGGGAGTGCTTCTGTAGGATATAAGGGAAGACATCTGTGAGGAGTAACATTTGAGGAGAATCTGAATGACAGGAAGGAGGCAGCCATGCTAAGAGCTGGGAAAAGAACAATCCAAGCAGAAGGCATAGTAATTGCCAAAGCCTTAAAATGGGAATAAACTTGGCATACTTGAGGAAAGAAAGCCCATGCAGTTGTAATACAGAGGAAAGTTGGAAATAAGATTGGAGACCATGTGTTGCCAAGATAAGGAGACTGGATTTAATCTAGCTATATGATAATAAGCCACTAGATGGTTCGGAACACAGGAGTGAGATGCTACTGATATGACACCTTGGAAAGATCTTCTGGCTATTATGTAAAGAATGTACTATAGGGATCTAAGATTGGAGACACAAGCACATAGAGCAATTAGGAGAACTTTCTAAAACAACTGGCAAATACAAGAGTAGGAAAGACAAGAAGACAGCTTTGAGTAGGATCATAGCAAAGAAGAGAATGGTAAGTAATCAGATTTGAAATATAATTTGTAGGTAGAGTCACCAGATTTATTGCTATATTGGACAGAGGGTATAAAGAAAGAAATCATGAATGAGTCCTAGAATTCAGGACTAAGTAACTAGGATGGTGCAAAAGCTGGCACAGATGTAGGGGTAGCAAATTCAACGCTCAGTTTTAGATGCCTAATTAATCATGTAACATCATGAGGAGGGACACAAGTTCAGCACAAAGAAAGGTCAGTGCAACTGGAGCAGAGAGTAAAATTTGGCAATTTTTTAGTGCAAGGGGAAGCCCCTGCAGGCTTTTAAGCAACAGAGACACACACAATTTGTTAAGAAAACATTATTCTGACAATAAGGTGAGACATGGCTGTAGAAGGAAAAGGAGATCAATCAGTCAGAAGACATTATAAAAATAACAAGTGAAAGATGACAGACAACAGTAGTGACGATGATGTGATAAACAAGAAAATGGAAACATTTTGGAAATAAAATAAGGAGTGAAATGAATGTGGATAGAAAAGAGAGTAAAGGAGTTAAAAATGACTCCCAGGTTTTTTGGCTTGATCACTTAGGTGAGTAAAGATGTCACTTACAGAGTTAGAAAAACATAAAAAGTTATTTTGAGAGTGGAGAAAATAAATTCTTTAGGGCACATTAAATTTGGGATGCCTATTGAACTGAGTGATTTCAAGCAGGCAGTTAGCCATAGGAGTCCAGAGTTCCAGAATGAAGACTGAATTGGAAATATAAATTTAAGAGGGAATGTAGACAGCAAAGAAAGCCTAATATTAACACTTGTGACACTCCAATATTTAGAAGTTTAGTAAAGGAGGAAAAGCCAAGTATATTGTACCTAATAATGACTAAAGTATTTAATTGCTTATGACCTTATTTACAGCATAAGTGGAGATAAAATACCAATAAATCACCCCATTACGCTGGATACATGCTTGTTTATAATACTTCAAGGCTCAAGATGGACCATCTTCCTGCCCTACCTGCCCTTCCCAATGCAGGTTGTGTCAGCATGGAGGCTGAAACTGTAGGATAGTAGAAAGCTGCAGTGCTAAGGTTGTGGTGTCCCCACATTCTTTTGGTGGATTAGGGCACATGAAGGTGTAGAACAATGGCTAAGAATGCAGGTCTGAAGGATTGGACAGACTCAACGAGGAATAAGTCAGTGAACAGGGAGGCCAATTATAAGGGTGATGATGTGAGGGCAGAGGAGAGTAAAAGTAGTAGCAGATAGAGGAGAGGGCTGACATGACTGTCTCAGAGATTAGTTACATAGATCAGCTAAGTAAATTGAGGGAAAATGTAAATATATTGAGGTTAATGAGAGCCAAGATTTCAATTATGGAGAATATATTTATAAAAATGGGATGATTATGGCCAGAAAGCATACTAAGATAGGGGCCTCCCTGGTGGCACAGTGGTTAAGCGCCATGCTGTGAAGCTTTCAGCAGCCTCTGCAGCACCGGTTCGATTCCCTGCCGGCCAGGGAGAACCCCACATGGCGCGCAGACCTCTCCTGCCGCCCGCTGCTCCCCTCAGCAGTGTCTTCGGTCCGACTGCCTATTCTGTCCCCGCTCTGGTTCTGGTGAATTCTCTCACCCTCCCACGCTTCTGATCTGTACCCCAGTTCTTGTATAAAATAAATAAATCTTTAAAAAAAAAAAGCATACTAAGATATTTATTGGAATTAGAGGTATCCATATAAACTCATGGTTTTGAAACATATACAGATAGTTACAGATGTATGTTTGTGTGTACATATGCACATGTGTGTGTGCACATATGTATGTATAAATATATATGTAGCACTACTTCTATATATTTCTGCCAAGAATGTACAACCTAGGTCAAGTCATGAGGAAGTATACATACTATACATATATTTCCTAGCTCTGTCCATGGAAAGGGCCTACGTATAATGACACTTCACTAAAATAAGCATACTGTATACTATAATCTTAGTTTCTGGATATCATCCTCAATTAAACAGAGAAGGGTTCCTTGGAGAAAAGGCTGATTCTAGGGTTAGGGAAGGAAGAATAAAAGCTGGGCCTGGAATACTTTGTGCCAAAAGTAAATACACACTCAGTGAGTGATGGAGACATGAGTAAAGGATAGATATGCCAGCTGGGTCTTCCCACTCAAAAGCAACATGAGCATAAAAATCTAGTAATGGATAAATTCTGCTGGATTAAATAGAAATCCATGAGCCCCTGCTGATGAATGAATGCATGAATTATTGAATGAATAAGAGAAAAAGGAAATCTCTTCCATATAGTAAAATGCTAGTAAATGTAGAAAGAATTAGGAAAATAAAAAAATTACCACTTAATAATCTTCAGATATTGCTGATTCAAGCAGAGTCATCAATGGATACTAAAACTGATATGTGGAGATGATGAGGAACAGATATTGGTATGCTGTCAGGATGCTTCCAATGAAAAACTAATTGATTACAAAGCGGAAAGTGAAAAATTTAAAATGGAAAGAACTGGTAGGCACCCATGTGACCAGGCTATCAAGGCTGCCTTTTGATATGATCAGCTGAGGAAAATGTAGCATCATTTCTATGTATTTCTGCCAAGAATGTACAACCTAGGTCAAGCCACGAGGAAGTATCAGAAGAAACCAGGTTAAGAGACATCCTAGAGAAGGTTAAGACCTCTACTCTTAAACCTGAAAGAAAAAGAAAGACTCAGACAACTGAATAAAAAACATATTTGTAATGGGAAAACGGACCATGAAAGAATTAGGAATAAGAGGACATCGAGTCTGAACTTTGCTTTCAAAAGGTTCAGAAAAAGACCAATTAGAAATGAGAGTTGTGGCTGTTTCTCTTGGTTCTACAGACAGCCGCCTCTCTGCATGCAGTGCCAATGTATTCCCCCAGACACTGTGGTAAAGGTCAAAGCGAATGGATTTGGCTGGAGTGGGTGCCTCGTCACCAGGGCTGCTTTTACCTCAGGCTAGATGGATATTGCTACCATCAGTGATCCCTTCACTGATCTCAACTACATGGGCAACATGTTCCATTACTGCTTCTACCCACAGGAAGTTCAATAGCATAATCAAGGCAGAAACCAGGAACCTTGTCATCAATGGAAAGTCCATCTCCATCTTCCAAGAGTAAGATCCCACCAACATGAAATGGGATGATGCTGGTGCCAAATATGTTGTGGAATCCACTGTCATCTTCACTACCTTGGAGAAGGCTGGGGCTCTCCTGATGGTGGGGCCAGAAAGGTCATCATCTCTGACCCTTCACTGATGTCCCCATGTTTGTGTTGTGTGTGAACCAAGAGAAGTGACACAATTTCCTCAAGATTGTCAGCAATGCCTCCTGTACCACCAACTACTCAGCCCCTCTGGCTAAGGTCATCCATGACAACTCTGGCATTGTAGAGACTAATGACCACAGTCCATGCCATCACTGCCACCAAGAAGACCATGGACGGCCCTTTTGGGAAGCTGTGGTGTGATAGCTGAGGGGTTGCTCAAAATATCATCTCTGATTCTACTGGTGCTAAGGCTGTGGGCAAGGTCATCCCTAAGCTGAATGGGAAGCTGACAGGCAAGGCCTTCTGTGTCCCCACTCCCAAAGTGTCAGCTGTGGATCTTACCTGCTTCCTGGACAAAAATGCCAAATACAATGACATTATGAAAGTGCTGAGGCAGGCATCATGGGGCTTCCTCAAGTTACCCTACACTGAGGACCAGACTGTGTCCTGTAATTTTTACAGTGACACCCACTCCTCTACCTTCAATGCTGGGGCTGGCATTGCCCTCAATGACCACTTTGTCAAACTCCCTGGTATGACAATGAACCTGGCTATAGCAACAGGGTGGTGGTTCACATGGCCTCTGATGAATAAGAGACCCCTGGACCATGAGCCCCAGCAAGAATACAGCCACCCTCAGCTACTAGGGAGTCCTTCCCCCACTAATCCACATTGAGAATCTCCTGACTGGTTATACAGTTCCATCCCTGAGAAGGAAAGGGGCTTAAGGAGCCCCACCTTGTCATGTACGATCAATAAAGTACACTGTACTCAGTCAAAAATAAATAAATGATAAATTGCAAAGTTTTGTGAATGTACAAAAAACCCTCGGAAATGACAGAAAGGAGAAAAGAATGAAAGAGACAAGACTAAAAGAAATGTGCTTGTGTGTGCATGTATATATAGAAAGGGTGGTGATGAAATAAAATTCAGTAAAGTGTTAAAAATGGGGGACTGTGGGAAAAGTAAATGAGAGATTTTTGTATGGTTCTTCTTTAAATATGCAATAATTTCAAAATAAACTAGTTTTTTAAAAGGCAATTGGTAAGTAATTAGGAACAAATACTCTAAAATGGAGACTGCCAAGAATACTAGAAATGAAAACTAAGGTGCTTAAAAAAATAAATAAGACTAAAGACTAGTACCCAACTTTTAAAACTACACACAAAGGCCATAGGCCCATCTTTACCATTTTTGTGGAGTTACAAAAAATGTAGTAGAATTAGCTTTCACTCCACCTGGTGCTAATAGTCCAGGTAAATGTTTAAATAAGGAAGAAAGGAAATAAATAATAGCCTCACCTGTTCTCTCTTTTACACTCTTAAGTCCATTTCTGCCCATCCTACAGTTTGTTCCATATAATCCTAACTACTCCTAACTTTACTCATAACCTTCCATCTATTGTAATTTCTAATTTTCCTCTTTCAACTTCAATTTGGCACATCAAATCAAATCCCTAAAAAGACCTTGAAATTTTTATGAAACATTTTTACTTCGGTCTGAGGGGAGGTGCTATGTTGGTGGTGGCAGGTATGCTGCTGGGCAAAGAGAAATTAAGACTAAGAAGTCAAAAGAGGGCCTCCCCGGTGGCGCAGCGGTGGTGGAGTGCTGGGTTGAGAAGCTGCCCGCAGCCTCTGCAGCGCCGGTTCGATCCCCGGCTGCTCTCTGGCCACCGGAGGGTCCCACATGGCACACAGACCTCTCCTGCTGCCCGCTGCTCCCCTCAGCAGTGTACTTCGGTCCTTCTGCCTGCTCTGCTCCCCGCTCTGGCTCTGGTGAATTCTCTCACCCTCCCGTGCTTCTGACTATACCCAGTGCTTGTATAAACAAACAAAAAAATAAATAAATAAAAAGAAGTCAAACGATGTTTCATTAAATTAAATTAACTGAAAGCTACTATAACCACATAACCCTGGGTGTGAGAGATTCTATTTATAATTTCTTTTTAAGAAATCTTTCAGAGAAATCCAAAGGCCTAAAAAAAACCAAACATGATAGTCAACCAACAATAAAGGTAATTCTGTCCTCCTTGCCAGGCCATGTTCACCTGTAAATCACACAGGACCTTACCTTGGCTGCCTTCAGTAACATTTCCCTTTCTTCTAAATCCTTTCTCTGCTTCTCCAATTGATCAAGCTTTTCAAGAAATTTGAGTTGTGACTTGGTATCACTAGACAGGATGTAATTTTCACTCGCCTGGAAAAAAAAGTCTTATGATGATCTTAGGTAACACATTCTCTACTAGATATTGTTATAAATCTACTAGAGACAATAACATCAACATATGGAGGGAAATGTATTTTTATGAGATTTTTTTATTTCTGTTAAAGAGACTTAATAAGAAGGACTTTAATCATTCTTAAAATCTGAAAGGGGATTAAGCATTTCCATTTCAAAGAGCTTTCCTAGTAAGCCTCACTCAAGAGAGTAAAAAAATGAAATTATGTCAAGCAGATCCTAAGAATAGGAAGTAGAAAGTAACAGTATGCCATTTACCTATAACCCAAACCTTTTTAATAAGTTATTGTCATCTCAGCAGACTTTAATATAGTTTAATTAAGCCTTAGGCCTGTGAAAAACAAAAAACAAATAATTATCTCACTAAAAAGTAAACCAAAAAAGTCAAGTTATCACTACTGTTTCTGTTGTTGGTCTGATCTAGCCTTGACAAGTGAATGCAACTTGTATCAAAATAAAACATAAGATAAAATGGCAAACAATAAAATCCTAAACTGTTTTGAGGATTCCCTTCGGCTGTGCAGTTGGCCAGAAATTATAGTCAGAGTAATTAAGCAAACAATTTATAAGTGAGAGCCATACAGAGAAGCATAATCGTGTATCTTAATTGTTCTATAAAATGTTAAAATTTACATTACTCCATTTGTTCTGATAGTCTAAAGTGTAAAACATTGCTTTCCAATTTAAATATTTTGTCATTTTCTTCAACTGATATATCCACCTATCTGGCCTCTTTATATGAGTGCATGCTTTTGGAGGAGGTAGAGGGGAAGGTGATCTTCCCAATCAGTATTTAAGTTCTCCTAGCATCTCTCATCTCAATAAATCATACATCCAACCTAAAGGAGGGAGTCTGAGGGAGCATGTATAGTAGGAAACAATGCTTTTAAACCTTTGGTTCAAAAGTCATTGCTTGGCTTGGAAATCATGGGTACAGCATCCATCATTGTTTTACTCTATGCTTATGGCTGATTCATATGCCCAAGATTCTTTTTAAATTAAATTTCTTTTGTTGGTATTTATCTAGATCAAAAGAGCATTATACAGCATTATAGAAAAGGATGTATTAGTGCTACTTATTTTACTTTATGTTTAAGACAAAAAAGAATTCTGGTTCTTTTAAAGTTAAAAAGTAAAAGACAGAATATAGAATACATTATAGACCAAACATGTAAGTATAAACATAATAACCAATAGTTTTGAAACAATAAATAATTCATCTTTACCATTTTTGTGTTCACTCAATAATAATTAACATTATTTCAAAATAGCCTATTCCATACCAAATCATACCCATAAAGTTTTGCATAGAAACTACCCACTATTAATGATGTAATAATGTATTTCTGAAACAACAGGTTGAAAGGGAGAATCGAGGTTTGAAAAGTAATTTAAAAAATTTGTTCCCAGTATTATATTAATTGAGGTAAAGTCAGTTTATATCTTTGTATTTACTCCAGGGGTTATAGGTTCAAATATCTACAAATGTATACATTCACAACATGCCCACCACCAGTGCCCCAATAATCCTCTATCATGTTCCACAGGGCCCTTTCCCTCCCCTATACTTTTTAAAGTAATTGTAAAGAGCAAAAAAAAAAAAAATTAAAAAAAAAAGAGAGAATTACTTTTTCTAAAATTGAAGGTAAGCATCATGTTATCAACTCAAACTATAGTATTATAATTTTGGAAGTTAATTGAAACCCACAGTGTATATCTAGTGTGTGTGTGTGTGTGTGTGTGTGTATGTGTGTATGAAGGGAATCAAAACAAAAAAGCTGTCACTCAGAAACTTAGTTCTTTCTTATCAATAATCACTTTAAAAAAAAAATCAACAGATAGAGCCGCAGAATGGATTAAAAAACATGATTCAGCTATATGCGATCTACAAAAAATTCACTCTAGAGAAAAGCACCAATAGGCTGAAAGTGAAAAGATGGAAAAAGATATTCCAAGTAAATAATAATCAAAAGAAAAACCAGAGAGGCCATACTATTATTGGACAATATAAACTTTAAGCAAAACACTGCTAAAAGACATAAACATATTGGTAAAGGGGTCAATTCATTAAGAAGCTATAAGGAGGGTCTCCCCGGTGGCACAGTGGTTGAGCGCTGGGCTGCGAAGCTGCCCACAGCCTCTGCACCCTTTCGAACCTTGGCCACCGGCGAGGGGCCCACATGGCGCACAGACCTCTCCTGCTGCGCCCACTGCTCTCCTCAGCAGTGTACTTCGGTCCTTCTGCCTGTTCTGCTCCCTGCTCTGGCTCTGGCTCTGGTGAATTCTCTCACCCTCCCGCGCTTCTGACTGTACCCAGTGCTTGTATAAATAAATAAATAAATCTTAAAAAAAAAAAAAAAAGCTATAAGGAGAAGAAACGTACAGACAACGCAGCCCCCAAACATATTTTTTTTAAGATTTATTTATTATGCATAAAGAACTGGGGTACAGGCCAGAGGTGCAGGGGATGATAGGATTTACCAGAGACAGAGTGAGAAACAGAACAAGCAGATTGACTTAAATACACTGTTGAGGGGAGTAGCAGGTGAGACAGGAGAGGTCTGCTGTGCCATGTGGGTCAGCATGTGGAAACTTGTGCTGCAGTAGCTGCAGATAGCTTCATAGTGGTGGTACTTAACCCCCTGCACCACCAGGGATGCCCAGCCCAATATATACTAAGTAAAAACTGACAGAACTGAAAAGAGAAATGGTTCTCTAATAACACCTGAAATCCTTGATAATAGATAGAATACCAAGATAGAAAATTAATAAGGATATTGAAGACTTTAAACTATAAATCAGCTAACTACAGCAGACATACATGAATACTTCACCCAAAAACAGAATACACATCCTTCTTAAGTACACATGGAACATTCTCAAAGACATCCTATGTGTTAGACCAAAAAACAACCCTCCTTAAACTTAAGACGATTACGGGCCTCCTTGGTGGCGCAAGTGGTTAAGACACAACCTTTGAAGCTATCCACAGCCACTGCAACATGAGTTCGATTCCCCCGCCAGCCAGGGAGCAACCCACAATGCGCAGCAGACCTCTCCTGTCTCGCCCGCTGCTCCCCTAGCAGTGTATTTCATTCAGTCTGCCTGTTCTGCTTCCCATTCTGTCTCTGGTGAATTCTTTCACCCCCCACACCTCTGGCCTGTATCCCAGTTCTTTTAGGAATAAATCTTAAAAAAAAAAAAAAACCTTAAGATGTTTACATCATAAAACATGTCTTCTCCGCTACAGAGTGAAGCTTGAAATGAGTAACAAGAAGAAAACTAGAAAATCCACACTTTGTCAACTAAAGTAAGGAAATTACAATCAAAAGATGAATGAAAACAAAACCGCAACATAGCAAAAGTTGTAAAAATGCAGTGAAGGAAGTGCTCAGAGGGAAATTTATAGCAATAAAAGAAAAAGCTCTCAATCAACAACTTATTTAATACCTGAAGGAACTAAAATCTGAAATGAAAGTAGGATCATTACTACTGCTCATATAGAAATAAAAAAAAAAAGGTAAGAGAATAATAGAATAATTGCATGCCAAGAAACTAGATAACTTAGAAGAAATGGACAAATTCTAGAAACACACACACAAAAAAAGAAACATCAATATTATTTGTGTTGTTTATTCATAGCTTTTTCTCTTATTGATCTAATATTTTTCAATCTAGCAAGTTCTTACAAAGATTTATACAATGAGAATCTCACCAACTATAAACAGTTCTTCCAGTTCTAAATGAAGAAGAGAAATAGGGTGATTCCTCCAGGAAACATACGAGTGATATGAAAGCTGGTATTTCCCTATATTCCTTTAATGTATGGTTAGTATGGTTAGGTTATCATGACAAGGATCATCCTTGCAAACTCACCCTCTCATAATGTTACCTACAAACCATTTGTATAAAATCTAGCTTTCAAAATTTTTTGATGTAAAGGGAAAATTTTATATTTTTCTTTTTCATCCCTAACCACCCAATAAATTCACTCCTCCAAAATCATAATTCAAGTAATTTAAATCAAGTGCTTTCATTTTGATGATGACAAGTGATTTCCTCATACCAGTGACAAAAAGAAGCTATTTTTGAATTTAATTTTTTAGTAAAGCAGTCAATATAGTGATGAATGATACCTGTGTTAGCAATGAACACAATCATTTTACTCACTAAAAGGAAGAGGAGTGCTAGCAGAGGACGGATCATTGAAGAAAACAGAACTAGCTAATATTCCATTCTAACAAACCCTTTCAATACCAACCAAAAGCTTTAAGAAGGATGTCTCAGACTGAACAGATGCATATTTCAAAATACAGTGATATAGATGCTTTGGATACCATTTTAAACTTTGAATTTTATTTGTCATAAGCATATCTAAATAAGGCAAATTAGGAATGGCCTTTTAATTTTCTACCAATATGAAATGCAAGTTCCCACTGTTTTCTTTAAGAAAATACTGAGAGTATGAATTTGCATCAAAAAACTACCTTTAATGTGACAAAGAGGAGAGACAAGAGTTTGCAATTGCTTAATGATTTTCTTTACCTTATAAGTTGTCATTCGATGCTGAGCTACTGTTGTCAGTTTTTCTAGAAGGCCTCGTAATCGCTCCTGTGTTGCATGGGAGATCAAATTCACAGCATCAGAGTTAAGTTCTGTAATGTCATGCTTTTTACCTGTGGAAGCAGAGAAAATCCATTACGTGTTTTAGTAGTGGCTGATAATTGAAATAATTAGCACAGCAGGTATTCTGTTCCCCCTGGAAGTCATACCCATTATGAATAAAGGTTTGGAGATTATGATTTTCCTGGTAAAGTCACAACTTCAAAGATCTTAGACATTATATTAATAAAACCTAGCCTGAAGCCTCAGAAAATATAGACATTGTTTCACTTAGCCTCTAGAATCATTCTCCTTGCAAGGTCATTTATAGGACAAAGTTAATAAGAACACAAATCAAGTCTAGTATTCAGGGAGGAAAATGGTAACTGCAGAAATTAGTGCTGTATTCTGTTCATTTTAGTAATTAAAAAAATAGAAAATTACATTTTGCCCTGTTTGACACAGTTAACAATTTATGACATTTATTTCAATGAATTCAGATTGTGAGTCTCTGCTAATGCCTACAAGACATTCCTATGTTCTTTTGTCCACTACCAATCATGCTTATTTTGCATTAACTCATGTTCTGAAAAATTAACCTGGTCATCAATTTACAATATGAAATGGGGTTCTAAGCTTTGTTATTTCATCCATTCATTTGAATGACTTCCTTTCACTATATCTTTTTCCATAAATAAACCAACCCTCTTTTCTATTTTCTGCTACTAGGAAGAAAAGTTTCAGCAAAACAACCAGGACCATAAACCCCAAAACAGAAGCTCATTTATAAATCAACCTTATCAGTATTTAAACAGAAACTCTCCAGCACAGTAAAACCACCTGTATCAATAGAGACCTAAGTTTAATTATATAGGCAATTAGGAAGTTTAATTTAAATGACATCTTAATGGTACCATTGTATTTGCTTTTAACACATGTATGTAAGTAAAAATTTTGAAGATATTGTTTGATTTTGTACTTTATCTGAAATATATTCATCAGAGAGTGAATGAGTAGAGCAAAAATAACTTGATTAAAAACCAACAAATTTTATATCTATTCTTTGACATCATCACTATGTAATAAATATTATATTTCAATTCAGAATGAAGGTTACAGTGAACAATATAGGAAGAAAATATAAAATAATCCGGTGGGAGGAGCAAGAGGAAGGTTGGGGAACAGCACAACACTATAGTGTTGGACCATGGGTCTTTTCCATGGTGAGTACAACGAGATAAAAACATCTGAGAAGGGAAATCTTATACTTCCAATGTACAAACTATGGTATAAACCAATGTTAACTCAACCTCAATTTTATATACACATACATATGTATATAAAATTGTATATGTATATAAATATATATGTATATATGTATACAAAAATATATATGTATATAAAATTATCCTGCTTCTCCTAAGTCAAACCCTCAAAATGTCATGTACTGTTTTGCAGTGAAACGGATTCATCTTCAATTTCAGATTCAAGCAGGAAAAGAACACTACAAAGTCAAAAGTACTTCACTAAAACTGTTAGCATAAACAAATATTGGGGGCCTTCTAGAGAAGGGACAATACAATTTCAAAACCACCCAATGATTACAATTACCAGTATACATACAGTAGGTAGAGGATGACATGCTTAAATTAAAGAAAATGAGTATTTAAATATAGTTACTGTCTTGGGAAAACTTTTAAAATAATGTTAAAACAGAATAATTCATCTTATGTAAAAGGAAAGTGTCCTTTTTTTCCTAAAAATATTTATTTATTTATTTATTTATTTATTTACTTACTTACTTACTTACTTACTTACTTACTTATTTATTTATACAAGAACCAGGCACAAGAAGTGAGGGAGGGTGAGAGAATTCACCAGAGCCAGAGCAGGGAACAGAACAAACAGACCTATGAAATATACTGCTGAGGGGAGCAGTGGGTGCAGCAGGAGAGGTCTATGTGCCATGTGAGACCCTCGTCTGGTGGCTGGGGATTGAACCAGCACTGCAGAGGCTGCAGGTAGCTTCGCAGCCCAGCGCTCAACTGCTGCACCACCAGGGAAGGCCCGAAAGTACCCATTTTTAAGATATTGGAAATAAACAAGTATAGGGATTTAGAAACAATTCCAGGGTTTAGTGACCAATTCAATGTTCTATTATCTTCACTAAACTCATAATAAAAAATAAGAAAGTTATAAAATTAAATACTATAAAGCAAATTCCCACTTTTAAATAAAACAGTTTTGTTTTTTAACAAAACCAATTCATTAAAGAAGTCTAATTGGTGCTTGCCAACTTGTTAAGTGATTTTACAGATTGTCTATATAACGTAATTTAGATAAATAGCAAAAAAAGGAACAATATTAGCATGTTTAATTGCCTTATATTATTCCAGCAGGAAATTTTTCTTCCAAAAAAATTATTTGCGTAAAGTTATCATTTCTGTTAAGAAATGGTCTTGGTTTTGACCAGTTCTATAAAGACAAAATTGTACTATGAAAAAAATCCTAGAATTATGTAATTTCATTCATTCTATGGTTTTGGATTTTTTGTTAAGCTTAGGTAAAATCAGAAATGATATTTTGCAGTTTTCCATCACATTAAGTGACAAGTTTGTGCTTCATTATTAAGAACTGATAAACAATTTTGTTCCTAAAATTCTCCTTGAAAGCAAGGTTTGGCAAATTAAATCTAGTCTTTTTTGGTAAATAGTTTGATGGGAATATAGCCTTGCCTATTTTTTACATTTTGTTGATGGATTTTTTGGTGATAAAACAGCATAGTCAAGTAGTTGCAACATAGACTGTATGGTTCACAAAGTGGCAAATGTGCCCCTTTGTGGAAAAAATTGCTAATCCTTGCTCTAAATGATCAAAACTATTTTTTCAGTGCTAAAACTTAAATAAAGCTAGAAATAAAATTAGGGTAGGGAGCAGGGAATTGACAAAGCTATGTATCTGCTGCTACTCTAGCCAAGTCTTTAATAATTATACAAGGAATTAAAATACTAGTAAATTTTCCCAGCTTTTACAGGAAGGCATAGTGCTTAGTTTTTTCCAAAATTAAGGAACTTGCACTGTGCAGTACAAAATAAATATGCAAAGAAGAAAAAAGGGAAAGAAGGAAGAAGAGGAGGAGAAAGGAGGGAAATCAAACAACAAAGGAAACCACAAATATTTTATAATCAACTGTTCTAAATTTCTATCCTTTTGGATTATTTGTAAACTCTGTTGTTTTTTTTTTTTTCATGATAAAGACACTATACCCTCAAATTTGAGATTTAAAAAGATTCATCTGTATAGCATACAGATCAACCATTTACTTCTTTTGAAGCAGACTTAATATATATAATAACTACACCCCTTGCAATTCTTAAAAATACCATAGTTATATATAAAAAAAAATAATCAGGAACCCTGAACACTTTTGTATTAGGTCTTCAATACAAATATAAAGATTCCTACTCTTTATAAAACATAACATTTTTGAGTGAAAATCACTAGTACTGGCCCCTAATAAGTTACAGGATCAGAAATGAAGATATGAGATAACTCATATGAGATAACTCATGCAACCTGTGTCTTTTTGTAGTTAACTTGGGGAGATTATAGTCTTTCACAATATTCAAAGTTGGTATTAAACAAAAACAAAAGAGCCTGTTTGGCTCTAGAATGAAATTGGCATGTTCTCTTTATTTTCATGTATTAAGCCACCTAACAATTACTCCTTGGCCTACAGAGACTCTTAATAGAAACTTGTAACCTAGTGTACATTTGTACACAGGCAAGCCTAAAGGCCAAGCAAGGAAGGAATAGGACCCAAAAATAAATTTAGTATGCTGTGTGTATGTATATTTTATTTTCATACATATATATATATAAAATGTCTATATATTGACAAAAATATACAGTATTATTCTCTCAATAATATAAAAAATATTAACTTCTAGTTTTTAAACCAGAAACCATGGAATACATGATTCAAGTTATTGTTAGTGACTTTCAAGATATTTTTTTTTCTTACACTCACAAAATCTTCATTATTTCTAGAGCCTCTTTAAGCTTCAGAGTTCCAACACAACCAATCCAAGCTGTCTTTTCTGATAGTATTTTCCCTGGAACAGATAATACTATGAGGTCAATAATATTAAGTATGCACTTACCAATGTCTAAAATTTTCTTTTGAAGAGCTCCAGTGAAGAGAAATGGTTCATCTTTACATGACTGAACAAGTGTGCCTATCAATTTAGAATTTGTTGATAGGATGCAGGCATTTTCTTCACTGAGATTGACCCCTGCCATGGAAGTCACATCATTGATATCATCTTCATCTCTTAAAAAAAAAACAATAAAAAAACAACTTTTTTGATAGCGGTGATGTTGATAGTGGCATATTAATGATTTAGGAGAGAAAAGAATTATGATCTCTCCTTATAATAAAAGACAATATTTTACCCAATTCATCCAATCAAGAAGAAAACTGAAGAACTATCTTTCCCTGTAATTTTTAAAAATTAATTGGTATCTCTAACCACTAGTGTATATTTAATATCAGAAAGATGAATCAGAATAAACTGTTTTTCTAGTGACTATCTTTGCCTCTCTGTTTAGTATATGAGATAAACCAAGAGGGATTTGGAAGTTACACTAAGTTATCCTCAAATCCCCTGCATTGACAGACAAAGAAATGAAAACAGACTTCTTTGTTTTCATCCAAGATGATTAAGTCCCTCAGATTTCCCCTGTGCAATCCATGTTCCACTGAGGGGCAGCATGAATTCCTGTCCTGGAAAGGTCTACACCCAAATAAAGATCCTTGAGAAGATGTTTTCTTGACTATCTGTTCCGAAACCAAATAGTTAAGACTACTTTAGGTTTTTTTGTATGTTCCATCTGCACCAACTGAGTTTATTAAACCACATTCTCAACCAAATGACTACAAAGGACTAACATATAAAATATAAAATTATACATATACACATGCATAAAAGACATACACATAAAACACAAAATTTGTTTGAACTCTTTGCATTGCACCAGGAAAATTAAATACTTGTTTTTAGCTACTAAAAATTGCTACATGGCTATAGTACTAAGATAAGTATGTATTTTAAAAGTAGAGAAGAGTGGGGAGGGATACTAAAATTCCTTTATATTATCCTTATCACCATATGCCGTAACAATTTTGTTATTGATCATAATTCACACAAATGCAAAACATAATTTACATTAACTATTATTTAAGAGATATTGTTTCTTTTTATTATATAGACCAAATGGTGCATCATGTGGTCTCACGTCAATAGATGTAAATTATGACCCTCCCTCTGGTAATGCATTTCTGCAATATAAAGGGAATACATTATAATTAGCAAGTGTTCAAGAAAGCAAGGCCTCTGGTGTTCAACTTTATAAAGCACATCAAGGGGTGAGGTGGGAAAGAGTCCACACTCAAATATATGAGATGCACACTAATGACAGAAAGAAAGTACTACACAGATTTACAGGTGAAATGAATGAACAAAATGGTCTTACAATATAGAAGCTCAATATTAAAAGGTATGTCTCTGCAATGAGAAGAAGAAAAAATTAGTATCTCAAAACACCAAATGAAACATGCAAAATAAAGATACTAAATGAGAATGGTCAAACTCTACCTTATGTCACAGAAGTATCTGACAGAAATGATGAGGATGATTTTAAGATTCAATATGCCACCCATGTAAGTAAAGTAGTATTTCTAGATACAACTAAATTTAACCCTTTGCACTCCGAACCATTCTGGACATTGGCTACCAATGTCCCCTGAGAGGGGACAGAGGAGTGCAAAGGGTTAAACATCTGAAATGTAGCAAACATATAAATCATAAGACTGAAGATAAACCGAGACCTGAATCTTAAAAAATATTTTTAAAAAGCAAGTATCAAGAGAATGAAAATGCCACAGAGTGGGGAAAAATATTTATAAAAGACACACCTGGCAAATAACTGTTATCTAAAATATACAAAGATCTCTTAAAACTCAACAAGTAAAATGGGCAAAAGAGCTAACAGACAACTCATCTGAAAAGATAGCCAGGTGGCAAATAAATATATGAAAAGATGTTCCACATTAGGGAAATGAAAATTAAAACAATGAGATGCCACTATAAACCCATCGATTGGCCAAAATCCTGGACATTTACAATATTAAAAGTGGGTGAGGTTGTGAAGTACCACTCATTCACTACTAGTAAAAATGCAAAATGGCAGAGGAACTTTGAAAGACAACTGATAATTTCTTACAAAAGTAATCATACTCTTATAGGATTCAACAATCACACTTCTCAAAGGAGCTGAAAATTTACAAAACCTGTACACAGATGTTTATAGCAGTTTTACTCATAATTGGTGACACTTGGAAACATCTAAGAAGATCTTCAGTATGTAGATGGATAAATCAACTGTACCACATCAAATCAATGGAATACAGTGAACACTAAAAATAAATGCGCTATCACACCATGTGAAGACATGAAAGAATCTTAAATGCATATAGTTAAACAGAAGTCTATCTTAATAGATTTATATACTGATTATTCCAACTAAGACATTCTGGAAAAGGCAAACTACGGAAACAGTAAAAAAAAACAGTGGTGGCTAGGGAGTCAGTGGAGAGGGAGAGATAAAAAGGCAGAGCAGAGAGAATTTTTACTGCAGTGAAACTACTCTGTGGCACAGTATGAGTCTATGATGGTGGATGTCACTAAACATTTGTCAATACCCATAGAATGTACAACATAAACAGTGAACTATAATGTAAACTACAGACTTTGGGTGCTAATGATATATCAATGAACACTCATCAACTGTAACAAACGGATCATTCTAGCAGGGGGTATGGATAAATAGGGGAGGCTGTGCATGTGTGCGAGTAGAGAAAAAGTCTTATTTTCCTAGTTTAATTTTGCTGTGAACCTAAAATTGCTCCAAAAATACAAAGTCAATTAAAAAAAAAAAAAGGACCAAGTAAGTACACATCAATGGAAAATCAATTCACACCAAAACAGAATCCTAACTAGTTATTTAATATCTTTGGAACTCCCAATATTTACTCCACTGAAAAACAAATCTCTTAGATTTGGTGCTTTCTAAGGTCCCTTTTAGTCACCTAGAATAAATCAGCTGGTTTTGACCTGGCAAAACAATTGCCAGTCACACTGTGAAAAAAGAGGGGTTGGGGAGGGGTGTCACAGAACACACTATACTTTGAAAACACACCGTTATATTGGCATAATATGTCTCTGAAAATATACATGAAAAATTTTCCTACTATAAATGGTAAAAGGATGAGAAGACTTACTCTATACCATATTATGTTTCCTGCTATCTTTTCAATGTTGTACTATGTACATGAACTACACAATCAAAATGATTACTGACACTTAAAAATAAGCACTTATGATAACTAAAAATAGAAAGTAAGTTTAGACGGGCCTCCCCTGGTGGCGCAGTGGTTGAGCGCTGGGATGCGAAGCTGCCTGCAGGTGAGGGTCCCACATGGCGCACAGACCTCTCCTCCCGCACCCGCTGCTCCCCTCAGCAATGTATTTTGTCAGTTTGCCTGTTCTGTTCCCCTCTCTGGCTCTGGTGAATTCTCTCACCCTCCCACGCTTCTGACTGTACCCAGTGCTTGTACAAATAAATAAATCTTAAAAAAGAAAATAAGTTTAAACATAACCACTGCCTGGATGTCCTTTCCTTAAAATAAAATCAGAATTTTTAAGGTATATACACATGGCCTTTACACACATGCACTCCACACTGAACATTTACAATTTCAAATATGTGCCTGGTACATCGGCCCTATAAATTGCACCTTGCTACTGTAAGAGGTTTCTCGTATGGTTCCTGTTAGATCTCACAGACAGACTAGAAAGACCTGCACCATACCTACTTACTACCATACCTAGCAGTGTGGTAAACTGAAGAGAATTTATCAGTACCACGGTTTTTTAGAATCTTCTTACAGCCTTTCTCTGAAAATAAGCAAGGACCTAACCAACCAGTAAGATTTGTTCTTGCCTGCCTTACCTCCTCCCCTATTTTGCTCCAAGCTGAACACAGTTCCCTCTACTAATGCTGCCAGTTGCTATGGATACTATGGGCAGAAGGAGTAGAGGAAGATCCCTACTGAGGGAAAAGGAAAAGGTGCCATAAAAAACAGCACCCATTTAAAACTTTATCAAACAAGGCAGACTAAAGGAAAACAAAGACAATACTGTGGCAGCATTAGCAGTAAGTCTAAAACTGGCCAGGACAGTAATAAAAGCTTTGATATTGAGACATTTGAGATTCTAACTTGGTATTAACTGTAAAGAAAAAAGTTAACATCTCTGAATCACATCTTTAAAAGCTATCTGGACTAAAACAGTGCCTTTTAATAAAGGTGCTGTGAAAGACGATCTATTTTATTTTTAAAAACATGGAAATGAAATCTGTGGGGTATAATAGGTTACATTGCAAAAATTAAAGTATTATCCAATTATCACTAATACCTTGCTTTCTTGCATAAGAAAGTGATATAGTTCTTTAGCTTTTGATAAAGTTAACCACTACTCATGTCTACCTTCTTAAATCTCTTCCACCCTCTTTAAATCTTTAATAGCACCAGACTAGTTCTTCTGAAGTAGAATGAATGACATTACCCTCTTGTTCAAAAACCTTTCATGCTCCTAAGAACTCAACCTGATATCCGAGGCCTTCTAGGTAATGCTAACGTAGCATTCTTTCCTTCCATTGTTCATTACCAAATAGCTCCTACCGAGTCTAGTCTTTGCTCAGGCTATTCCCTTCTTGTTCTAGTCTTCAACTCCTCTTTTTCATTATCTTTCCATTGTCGAAGTCTTATATCAATCCTAGACCCACTTCAAACACCTACTTTAGAAATGTTGGTTCAACCATTAAAAGAAATAGAAGAAGATGCAAAGAAATGGAAAGACATCCCTGCCTATGGATTGGAAGAATTAACATTATCAAAATGGCCATCCTACCAAAAGCAATTTACAGATTCAATGCTATTCCAATAAAAATGTCAATGAAGTTCTTCAAAGAAATAGAACAAATATTGATGAAATTAATATGGAGCCACCAAAAACCCTGAATAGCCAAATCTGTCCTGAAAAAAAAAAGAGAAGGGAAGGAGGCATCACACTCCCAGATTTCAAACTATACTACAAAGCCATAATCATCAAAACTGCATGTTATTGGAACGAGAACAGACACATGGAACCAATAGAACTGAATAGAAAATCCAGAAATAAACCCACAGATTTACAGTCAACTACTCTTTGA